TTGAATACAGCGTCTGCTTTTATTTACAGTGTGAAACATCTGCAACATCAGCCAGTATAAGACTGCTGCTACATCATCACTGAGTTTGCCACTGTTTTTAAATACTCCCATTAAATTATATAGCGGCAACTTTCGGTCCTTCTTTGCCGCTTCTGCAGGACGTAAAGTTTCTGACTCGTGCTCTTGTTAAGTCGCTTGGATGTCTTCCAGTAGCAAAAAACGAGGCGAAGGAAAAAAGGGGCAAAACATTTATTTTCCATACAAATCGAAAGGTACAAAACAAATGCCTCTGGTGGGAGCTCCGTTTATATTCCCTTTATGTTACAACAAAAAATAACATTAAAACGGCGACGGTCAGAAAACTGTTGCTCCACGTCCTGCTTCCTTACCTAACCTTTTACCCACACCCCTCTGCATGCGGGCCAAATACACACCCCTTTTACGACATCTATCAACACTTTACAACAACAACAACAGACTAACAAAGCAGGATTAATTTATGGAGCACAACATATTACATTATAACATAAAATGATCAAGATTATAATAGAAACTTAAAGATCATGACAAATACTTAAATATGGCATGACGCAACTGAGTAAAATATTGGCCTGGACTTGGCTCCAACAAATTATATTTGTAACTAAAGCAAGTTTAATAATTTGCATCATTGACAGACATTCAAGGTGCATCGGAAACACTAGAAAAATACGACTAACATGAATTAAAGCTTAAACAAAACTGGACTCATATGGCAGAGAAATCTTACCTTCAACAGGTGTGAGAGCGAAAAGCAGCATAAAGGTGAGCTTTAAAGCTGAGAGAGACACACTGAACCTAAACTCTGCTACATCCATCTACAGTGAGTGTGAGACAGACGCTGACTGACAGCAGCTGATAAATACCAGTCTGTCTCTCTCTCCCTCCGCCCACTTCGCAACAATTTTAAAGCGCTTATTTTTTTTGTCCCAGGCGCCCCCTGCCCCCTGTATTTACCTGTTTCCAGGTGCCATTAATAATAATAATAATAATAATAATAATAATAATAATAATAATAACACAAGATTGCATAAGTGTTAGCAGGAATTTTAGTGCCAGAAAAACAGGAGGTTTTCTGCAACAGTAAAGGAAGCCTGAAAAACTCCAAGTCAAGTGACGGGAAATTCCTATTAATTACTGTCTGCTTGTTTACAGTAAACAGTAAAAAGTTCACAGCCCACAAAAGTCAAAAGCAGCAGTTAGTTCCTCTTTATTTCACACACTGCTGTTGTGCAGCAAGAGTTGCACAACAGCTGAATGACAGAGAAGAAACAGCTCACCTGTTCAGACAGGAGCTTAATTAGCTGATCGTCACCACCATTCTCTTCATGGAGACGAGAAAAAATTATAAAACAGGCTGTTTTCTTCAGTAACATGAAGGAAGGAAGCACTTCATGTGAGTCTGAGTCTGAAAGTGAAAATAAAATAAGAAGAAGGAGCAGTGGCTTCCTGCTGACGTGCGTTTAGTTTCTATTTTTTTCTACTCCCGCTTTTAAACATGTTTTAAAGTTTTAGTTATTCTAACTGTGTTTCCAGCGTAATAATCTTAATCCACACACATATTAATTTTCTTTACATCTTATCCAGTTCAGGGACCTGGTTCAGGGGAATTCAGAGAGAGGGTGGATGGAGTGAAGCTGATGACACAAGAGTGAAAGGTCTACACATCTACACCCACACTGTAGTGGGTAGGTGTAGATACTCACAGCCAAAAGTCAAAGACAAAATTCAGCCTTAAACCAGGGCGATTTTAGCCCATTCAAAATGAATCAAAGCACCCCCAAAGATTTCTTACTTTTTTTGACAATATCTGCTGTTTGTGTGACACACTACTAAAAATATAAAAAGCATTCAGTACTTGGTTGAGACGTAACATTTTAACAAAAAAAGTATAGATACCCCCCACACCCCCAAACCCCCCACATCCCAAATGGTTTGTTCCAGAGTTGCCTCCATTTTTATAATTTTTTTTAATCAATATTTTGCGCATTTGTACATTTCAAGGACTCTATTTTTGGAGTGTAATTTGTATGTATCTGTATTATATTATACATACACATTAAAAGTGAATCTCTGTCCAAAAAAATGCACTCAGTTTACTTCTTACTCATCATCATCTTACAGCATCATTCATCATTTTCCCCCTGTAATGAAGGTTAGGATATGTATTTTTTTCTATTCCAATCCATTCTTCTTTTGCAGCATTTAAATAACCTTGATCAGATTTGATGGTTTTGTTACAGACTGTGAAAAAGTGTTTTGCTTTTCTTTCACAAATATGGGAATTAAATTGTGTTAAAATGTACAAAACAGTGATGTCATGTTTTGAGACGAGGACCCAGGCACAGAGAGACTTGGCAAATTTAAGAATCTTATGATTTAATAAAGAAATTTGCAGACTTGCACAGAGATGGTAAAATTATGATGACTGATAGCAGAGATGAGGACAACAGACGATGAGGACAGAGAGGAACAGGGGTTTAAATACACCAAGGAAACAGGCAAAGAGAACTCGGGACAACTGGAGACATTTAAGGATGCAGGGACTGACAGAGACAGGGAAGAAGTGTCATTGTGACGAGTAAAGTTTATCTTGCCTGGCTGGGCAGCTCTCTGGGTGCTCACTTTTTAAAAAAAAGTGATCTTTGCAAACATTTCTGGCACAACTTCACCTGTTTCCAAGATACATGGATGAAAAAATCACAATGCAGGAACTCCAGCAACACTTAAAGGGAAAAGGAACAACTCCACTGTCCACTTTTAAAACACGTCTTAAAACCCATTTTTACTCTTTGGCTTATGACACAGTCTGACCCTGATTTTATTTTTTTTAATCTAATGTGCTGATTTTATTGTTTTAAATGTGTGTGGGTTTTTTTTTATATATGTATGTTTTACTTATCTTATATTATTATTACTATTTTTCTCATTTTTTTTTAACATGCTCAATGTATCATGTTTGGCATGTCAAGTGTACAGCACTTTGTGTTCAGCTGGTGGCTGATCTGAAAGCGCTATATAAATAAATTGCTTGCTTGCTTACTGACTGACCAACGCCTTCCGGCTGTGACCTTGACCCTGATGAAGGCCACAACATGAAAATACGTTGGTCAGTCAATAAAGTTGTTCGTCTTCCTCCAAAAAGTGATCCTTAAAAAAATGACCAAAGATCATATTTAATCTCCATGCTTTCTGAATGTTTTTCAGACTTTTTCTTTGAACACTGGCTGCTTTTTCACTTATTTTTCAGGCCAGTTCTTGTAAGCGGTATAGTCACAGGAATGTTTTTGTCTCTTAAGCAATACTGATCTATGAAGGGTCCCAGCATGAAAAAGGGATCTAACTCAAGGGATGAACCAGTGTTTTGACTAAAAAAGACAAACAGACAACAAAGAACCAATTTAAATAGCATGTTTAGGCATTTTGTTACTAGCAACCTGTAAAACAAACGCCCAAAAACAAGCAAACAAAAAAAAATTGTTCCCAGTTTTATAGCTGAATCTATGATGAATCACCAAGGGTAGCACTGTTTATCAGGAATAAAGCTGTATTTTTGCACCAACAAGCTATTTTGTAAAAATACTATATTATTTAGCATGGTGTGCAGTGTTCTTCAAAAAAATATCTGAAACAATCTGAAAGGAATGTTCTCTGGAACATCAATAAGTGCCATTGCCGGATGGTGTGTTGCTGTGTCTCCCAGCACAGTCTGAGGAGCATGGAGCTGATTCCAGCAGACAGACAGTTACTCTAGGAAAGCTGGACAGGGAAATAGAAGGTCCTTAACCCATCAGCAGGACCATTACCTGCTCCTTTGTGCAAGGAGGAACAGGAGGAGCACTCCCAGAGCTACAGAATGACCTCAAGGAGGACACTGATATGAATGTCTCTGACCAAACAGTCCAAAACAGATTTCATGATGGTGGCCTGAGGGGCTGACGCCCTCTAGTGGGCCTGTGCCTATTAACTGGCACTGTGGAGCTCAACTGACATTTGCCTTAGGATACCAGAATTAGCATGGTTTGGAGTAGCCATGGAGAACGTTATGCTGCCTGTAACATCATTCAGCATAACCGGTTTTGTGGTCGGTCATCGATGGTCTGTGGAGGTATATCCATGCAGGCAGGAACATGCCCTGATGCTGTCCAGCATTCATACAAGCACATGGGGGGCCATACAAACTACTGAGTACCATTTTTAGATGATGCAATGAAATGTCAGCCTACCACATATTTTTTCTGCTTTGATTTTTAGGTTGTTCTTTGTAGTTTTATCATTTTCATTTCCATCAAACAATCATTTAGTCCCTAATGCATTACCCAGTCCACATGAGAGTAGATATCCAGCATCATCTTTGGTCTGTCACAACTGTAGGTCTCTCACTTTCCAACATCCAAAGATGCTCTGCATTCAGATCTGGTGACTGGAGGCCATTGGAGTGTTTTCCAGTCTTCTGTTGTCTACTTTTGGTGAGTCCATGTGAAATGTAGTCTTAGTTTCTTGTTCTTAGCTGAAAGGTGGGGTCCCCAGAGTGGTCTTCTGCTCCGGTAGCCTATCTACTTCAAGGTCAGGTGTGTTGTGCTTTCAGAGATGCTCTTCTGCAGTAGCTTCTTTGTAATGAACAGTCAGGTGAGTTAATTTCCTGCTCACTGGATATTTTCTCAATGTTTGCTGTCTTGACCGTGTCTACGTGCCTAAATGCTTTGAGTTGTTGCTGATGTATTTGGCTGATTAGATATTTGGATTACTGTGACTAGCTGTGGAAGAGGTGTACCTAATAAAGTGGCTGCTGAATGTATGTAGCTGACTTTATTGGACTGTACAGTAATTGGTCCGATGTTCTCAGGTTGTATATATTTTCCTTATCTCTTTTCTGATAAATATAGTTTCACATGTTTTACTTAAACTTTTCATCAGTTTTGTAAAGTTTCAGAAAATCCTTCAGATCTGATTTTTGTTTCTGAAAATATGTTACTCTACAGGACGCCTACATTTTTGCAGAACTCTCTCTAAAGTCAGAAAGGTTTTGAGAAAAAAGTGTGGTGAAAGGTTTTTCTCTATTCATTATAGAGTTGAAGTCAATTATTGAATGTTCATTTGGCAATTTGTTTAGTATCTTCTGCACAGGCGAGTCTGTGTTATGAAAAATGCCCTGACTGTTTTGAGAACTGCATGAAGAGTGGTGAGATTGGCAAATCGACTGAATTGTCCAAATCTGAACATCTTCAGCTCGGCCTTCTGTCGTTCTGTCAGCGCCATCGTCTCCAAACCATAAATCATAGCAGGCTTCACTACCACCTCATGAACCTTCCCTTTCACTCTTGCTGCTCTCCTTCTGCCACAACTCAAACCTAAAACTCATCATCCCCCAAAACAACATGAGCAACAATATCATATTTTTAATCATGATATTTATTTATTTATTTATTTTGTAGTTGTGATTTTAAACAAACAAACACACATGTCACCACTCAAGTGCTTGAAACTTCAAAAACACAAAGAAATCCAATTTTGGAAATTACCACTAGGGGGCAGAGTCTATCAGCCTTCAGTTAATCCAAAACGCTGCAGCAAGAGTCCTGACAGGGACTAGAAAGAGAGAGCATATTTCTCCTGTTTTGGCTTCCCTTCATTGGCTTCCTGTTAAATCCAGAATTGAATTCAAAATCCTGCTCCTCACATACAAGGTCTTAAATAATCAGGCCCCATCTTATCTCAATGACCTTGTAGTACCATATCACCCTATTAGAGCACTTCGCTCTTGCTCTGCAGGCCTACTTGTTGTTCCTAGAGTATTTAAAAGTAGAATGGGAGGGAGAGCCTTCAGTTTTCAGGCCCCTCTTCTATGGAACCAGCTTCCAGTTTGGATTCAGGAGACAGACACTATCTCTACTTTCAAGATTAGGCTTAAAACTTTCCTTTTTGCTAAAGCATATAGTTAGGGCTGGACCAGGTGACCCTGAATCCTCCCTTAGTAATGCTGCAATAGGTGTAGGCTGCCGGGGGATTCCCATGATGCATTGAGTTTTTCCTTTCCAGTCACCTTTCTCACTCACTATGTATTAACAGACCTCTCTGCATTAAATCATATCTGTTATTAACCTCTGTCTCTCTTCCACAGCATGTCTTTATCCTGTCTTCCTTCTCTCACCCCAACCGGTCGCAGCAGATGGCCCCGCCCCTCCCTGAGCTTGGTTCTCTCTGTATATTGTATGATCTACTGTACAATATAAAGCGCCTTGAGGAGACTGTTGTTGTGATTTGGCATTATAAAAATAAAATTGAATTGAATTGAATTAGAGTCATTTTCCATTTCAGAATGGTGCCACACTGTGAAACGATGATTATAGGTGAAGATTTCACAGATTGTAGTTTCACCTGAAAAGTTTTTTTTTTTTGTATTATTGTAGAGTCTTTACCTTACAGTATATAAAGCACATTAAAGCAACTGCTGTTGCTGTGATTTGGATGTAAAAATAAAATTAAAAAATTACAATTAAAAAGTGAAGCTAGCTTGTGCCTCATTAAAGTCTCCTGCCGTCTCAGCCTTTTATCTTTTACTAGAAAAAATACTTCAGACGTGGGCGCGAATGGTGACTTTATACTGTCAAAATCAATGCGACTCTTAGAAATGACCTCAATAGATGTGAGGTTGCAGAGCTCGCCTTTTAATGTAAATAAATGAACTTATAATTAAATCTTGTACTGTGTTAGTTTTTAATCACATGACATTAGAGTCAAGCAAGAAATAGTTTTTAAATATTTGTTTTGTTTTTGTCTTAAAATGTCGCACAAGCTGAGGTTTCAGACTGAAACTGTGTTTGCACTTTCATTCAGTAAACTGGTTCTTTGCTCTGACAGACCACCAAATTAAAATGGAAGGACAACATTTATATTTACATATCTTATTTATTTAGACCACAGATTTGCTCTTTTTAAAGTAAATATAAACAACTTTATGACAAAATAATTCATCATCTTTGAGGGCTGCAGTGAGCTACAGGGAAAGTACAAGAAACTTATATTCACCTGACTATCATATGACAGACTCAGGGTTAAATAATAAAACAACAGAAGCTTGGCACCTGAAAAAACTGGAAACAATGCAATAGAAAAACAGCTTTGTCATGACTTGCTTTCATTAGTATGATTACAAGATAGTTCTAGGACACGTGGATTGAGTTTCCTCTCACATGGAGAAGCCTGGGGCAAACAAGTGGATGAGTCAGTGTTTGCGGGAAAGTACAAAGCATAAATTCAGTGATTTAAAGATATAAATGGTAAAATTGAAGAAGTTTTAAATGCAGTTGAAACAATGATTAAATGAAAACCACATTTCTAAAAACCTGATTAAAATTAGAGCCTGACAGGATCTGTTGATGAGCTCTGAGTATCTGAATGAAATCAGATACAGTGGAAAGAAGGAACAGGAAGTGAGCTAATCATGAGTAAATTAGTGGGAAGTCCCTGTCTGCTCAGTTTCTATAAACAGATCCACACATAATAAACATATTAAGGAACTTTCACTTGTACACGTGAAAGCAGAAACTGTAATGAGAAATTGCAAGGGACTGGCTCAGTCGGGTAATTCTGGAGTACATTTTCCAGTTTTCTATTTTCCGAGCTTCATTCATAGCAGTAGAACAGGTTACTCAATACACCGCTGAAAAACAGAAACTGAGCACTCTGTCATTCACTTCTTCAACTGCCAAGCTGGAAGTGTTTGTTTGTTATTCATGAGTTATATTAAAAAATTAATTTAAAAAAAATCACAAGCAAAAAAATGACAAAAAGAATAAACAATAAATAGTTTAAGAACAAAAGTCTATGATTTTACAGCAGTGCATGCAAAACAAATGCGTCTTCAGCTGCAGCAGGACTCGGCTCAGTTTACATTTACAGTTTTTATACATGAAGACGAAACAAAAATAGATCCCAGCACAGACTCTGATGTCTCCGCTCAGCTGGCTGCTGGTTTGATTGTTGAATAGAAAGTTGCTTCAGAATCTGTTTCTGCTAAAGACACAAAGATGCAAACTGTTAAACTACTAACAACATGCAGACATTAAAGTTCAACTACACTTCATCACATGCTATACATTTTTAAAACATCTACTTACAGTGACACCAGGCAGGGAACAGATGTGTGGGCTTTCTTTGTTTCACGCTTCATTTTTCAGTGACTCTCACACAGTATGAAGGGGGTGTCCCCGCCCCCTTAAAATATAACTGCCTCTACATTCAGCGCTGAAGTGTTGCAGTGAATCAGTACTCACCTGTAGTAATGGGCAATTCTTTATAATGAATACTTTTACTGTAAGCACTGCATACATTTTGATGCTAAAACATTTTTAACATTATTATTAAGGAAGATCTTTGTGTACCAATAATAGGAAATGCAGTAAGTCTTTACATTTAAAAGAATCTCTGTGATGGTACAGGACACAGCAGTCATTTATAAGCCACTTTTCTCTGTTTCTGTCACTAAGACACGTCATGGCCTGGTAGAGGAACCAAATGCAAGGCGCTGAGGGAGGCTGAGCAATGACCAGAAAGTAAAGTTAGTACTCCATGTGAAAAATCCCTAAAATGCATTTAAAGGAGAGAGGACAGAGTTCAGCCTGTCTTATATGGAAAATGGACGCAATGATGCAGTGAAACGTGCAAACATAGAATCACAGTATATTAGGCAATGAAAGCTTGTACAGGTCTTACAAAGTTGAAGGTTGTGTTATTCCTCAACACAGCCTGAACTCTGCAGCGTTCTTGTTTCTTTACGTCATCTTCAGGAATAGTTCTCCGGGCTTCTTGAAGGACATTCAAAGCTCTTCTTTAGATGTTGTCTACCTTTATATGATCCCGTACTTCAACAATGTTGAGGCCTGGGCTCAGGGAGGCGAGTCCATGACTGACAGTGTTTCTTTGAGTGTTTTTCTAACACTCTGTTTCTAATGCATTGTCAGTGTTTGGGATCATTGCCATGCTGAAAAATGAAGTTGCTGCCTTTGAGATGCTTTTCAGACGTTGTGGATCAAAACCTGATGGTATTTTTTCTGTATTCATAATTTCAGCAGTTTTGACAAGATCTCCAAAACACTGGCTGAAGTGAAATGAAAAACCGTGAGGAAGCTTTACAGGTGGCTGTAGACACTCACTGTACCTCTCTCACGACCTCCACTGTACATACTGATGACAGTTTGAACCAAATATTTTAATTTGGGATTCACTCCATCACTTCCTGTTTTCCTACCTTAAGAATGGGTTCTTGATGGCAGCCCTACCACTTAACACCAATTCTGATGAGGCATCAGTAAATGTGCAGAGATTTCCAAGATTTTCGGCTAATGGTTCTTTGGGAAGCATCGTGTTGGTGCAAAAATGCTGTGTTTCTCAAACTGTGTTATCTTTGGCATTTTTGTAGAATCTGATGACAAAATGGGAATATTTATGTGCAACAAAGATGCAATTAAAAATGTGTTCTTTGCTAATCCTTTATGTGTTGACACATCAGTGGGTTAGGTTCCTTATACTTCAGTGATTAATAGTTGAGTTAAGTAGCTTAACAAATAAAAAACACATTCCCCTAAAAAAATTAAAGTAAATAAAAAATAAAAAAGAGTGAAAAAGCAGCCAGTGTCCAAAAGAAATATTTGAAAGGCCTTCAGAAAGCCTGGAGAACTACTGCTCAAGACCACTTTGAGAAAGATTACAGGGAAGTCTGACCCCTTGGAAACCAAATATAAAAAAATTAGGTTAGCTCAGGACTTTTGCACAGCACTGTATACTATCTTGCCACACTGTGTCATATTGTGACTTTAAATCGGGGCCCTAAATATCAAATATGAGTAGTCTCTCCTCATGGTAGGGGGGACTAAGATGCAACGAGAGCAGCATAGGAGAATGTAATGAGCAATGCCCATAGACCAGGCAGAAGTAAACCCGGAGAAACTAAACATAGTAACATTTAAATAGAAACCAAAAGTCATTAAACGCAACAATCTGGGAACACAACAGATTTTGATGATATTTTTATTACTCATGGGTGCTCTCTGTCTGGTTTTTATCCCCCCGACCACAAGTGAAACCACATTTTTAGAACTCTCTGAACCCCCTGTGAGCCACCCACCTGTATTTGTTTCTTTCTATGTTTAGTTATCGTTTGTATCTTATTATGTGCTGATACTCCACTGACTCTATAAATCATTAACAAAATGAAACTTGTTCGTGTGCTTCCTTGATAACGACTGATACTCTTGTGTCATTAAACAATGAGGTCGTAGTTTCATGCAGACGCTACGTTTACACTTGACTCAAAGATCAAAGAAGTTTCACTCATGACCAGATAACATAGCACAAATAAAGTCTTTATAACTATCCACAAAAGGGAAAAACTGAGGTAATATAAATAACATACATATGCTTCAGGCTCTTGTGTACGTGTGGGAAAAGAGCTCTGCATGTGTTTTTACCTTTGTCACTCTTTGGCTGCACTTCCGGTACGATGGTGACATCAGTGTAGGAAACATCAGGGTCAGTTTCACCTGCAGCACAACACTTCTCACTGTTAAACATCTCCTTGGAAATATGATTTTCGACCATAAAACAAACATGTAAAAAGTTAAACATATAGCTCTCTGCTACATGTAATCGATCTCATTTATATAGTTTGTTCGGTTAAATCACTAAATATAGATCAGCTTAGTAAAGAGAGAACATCACAGAAAACCATTTGTAACGTAAATCCTGCTGTTGATTCATCAAAATTAGATTCTTAAAGCTGTAGCGCTCTTCCAGGTTTTTGTCTTCAGTGACCTGCTTTTACATGACACTCTCTGTTTTACCAGGAAACATCTGCTGCTTTTTTATGCTGTCTCCCAACAATGAGCTCTCAGCGATGCATAAACTCCTGCAGATACAGACGAGGAAGTTCAGTTAAGGCTTGCAGTGTGAGCAGGAAGCTGGACTACCCGAAAGAAACCCACACAGGGAGAACATGTGCAGTCTTTACATAAACCTGTAAAAGTGTGGGGGAGGGTTTGATAGTTTCATAGTTTAATACTACAAGTATTATTTTTGGTCTTACAGTTATGTCTAAACACACCAGAACCAACAACGATGATTGTGTTTTTTCACACAGGCCCTCTGTTTTGACCTAAATCAAACAAATACAACATAAACGGTTTCTGTGCAGCGAGTTTCAACACTTTCATCATACAAATAGTGACTAAACAGAGATCAGATCTGCAGTGAGCTCATGAAACACAAAGACATACCAAGGAGATCGAACAGCTGATAACACAGAAGAACATGTAAGACACGATGCACTCATACTTTTTTACGTTAGTCGCACCACTGTGTTTTAAGTATATCAGCTCATGTATGTACCGGCCTGTGTTAAAACCATGTCTGGTGCCAACAATTGACCCAAAATCTTCAATCAGAAAGGGGAAGATATGAACAAAGCGAAAGTACATGGCTTTTGCAAAATAACCACAACGAAATGCAGCAAAACACATTTTTGATGTGGAAAATAATAACTAAGAATCATATCAACACTCAGCAAAATCAAAAATAGTCCAATGACTAGCCCAGTTTCATTACAGCCCTTCTAATAAAGTGTTCGTTAAGTGTATATAAACAGTACACATAAGAAATATTTACAAAAAAGCAAAGATCATTTTAAATTGATTTAATCACATTTTTAAAATGTGCATTTATATTTATATTGTGAGCAAAAGATGTCTTCTTTTTTTAAGTTCAAAAATAAATTTGGGAGGATCTAAAACCTGAAAGATTGTTCTTTTATCTTTTGAAAGGCAAAGTTAATTGGTCTGCTAGAAATGAATAGAAACTATGCGGGAAATGACGCTCTCAGTCACCTTTGTTTAGACTGTATCATAATTTTTAAGATGTTTTATTGGTTGTTAAGCTTAAGAGTGTAAAAGCTAGCACCAAGATTTAAAAAAGGCATCAAAGACACTGTTTACGTCCGATCACTTTTTAAGTTTCAATATTCTCATTTTACTAAATAAAGAGCCACAAAGGTTCAGTTTGCAGGGATGCGCTGATACTTGCATGCGATGACTACGCACATATAATTTTCTTCTGGAAATTTGCATAATCTGACTCTTTGAAACTGCATGGTGTTATCTGATGTGACACAACCCTCCCAGAAATGCCATCCAGGGGAAAATAATCGACTAAATCAAGTACGCGGTTCTGCTGCTGTGACAGCCGAAAGAACAACAGATAAACTTACTCTTTATCGCCACGCTGAAAAACTAACAGTTAATCTCTTTGAAACTTATAATATAATCTTAATATGTACATAGTTTCATAAAGTAAAGTACCTTAATTTATTGGGAACTTAGGGCACTCTAACCAGCAGTGCACTTTTGGATTTTAGCGGCGGGATTCTGTATGAGAAATTGAACGATATAAACTGTGTGTTTACAGTAACTAAAGAATATGACTGTAAGTGCAAAGCTGTGGCTAACAGATATACTTCAAAAACAGACTGACCTTTGTGGTTCCTCCAGAGGCAGAACAGCAGCACCAGCACAACCAACACCACAGCCAGCGAGAGGCAGACACCCACCACAGGAAGCACAACATACATAGGAGGGGAGTGAAAAGATTTGGGTCGCCCAGCTTAAACACAATAGAAAACAGAAACCACAGTTTGTTCTTGATGCAAACGCAACAACAAGTTTGGGCTATCGCGTTGGTAGACTGTGATCTCTGTGCTACGCTCAAATAAAAGCACCAACAAATGTGGAAACAGAAGTTATATCTGCTGTGTGAAAAAGTTTGTTTCCTTTTTACTTTTCAGTCTTCTCACCTTTGACAGACAGCCAGCTGTCCGGTGATTCTCCGCTACCAGAGATGGTACACTTGTAGAAACCTTCATCAGACTTTGAAACTTTGAGGATGGTCATGATTCCTGTAGAGCTGTTCCTGATGAGGAGGCCATCTTTATAAAATTCAGCTGGGAGGTTGATAAAAGAAGTCTGTTTAACCATGCAGCACAGAGTTGCAGCATCGCCCTCCTGCAGAGGATGGACCGGACTCTCCAGGATCACAGAGCCTCCTGAACAACAGCATGACAGAAATGATCAATTAGTTGGTTTTAATATGGCTCAAAGCTTCAGTTAAAAAAAAAACAAACTGAAATCAAACATAGTCAATCCAAACTATCCTTCTTCCTTAAACCAAGACATAGTCCAGATCAGATAAGCTCAAAATGGAAAAAAACTTCCTCCTCAACATCTGGCATGTTTGAATGAATTCAGCTATTTCAGCCATTCAGATGCCATTTTAAGTTACTACTGCATTTAACAGCTTTTCATTTCATTACACGTAGCGATAAATTTCACTAATGTATCCTTTTTGTTTACCGAGCTAGATTTTTAGTTCTAAATATTAATTTGCATTTTTATCCAAACATTTTAACTGGCAGGGCATACGTTTTAGGTCAATAATTTATAACTTTTTGTTCATAATTTTAGCTAGCTCCAGCATTTCATCTAATTATTGATTATGCGAAGCTATGGTATTAGCTCAAAGCTTTAACTGTTAGCCATGCTTGGAATAAGCTTTGTCCATGCACTAATATCTAAATGACCCTTATTGCAATACTTTAATCCAAACCCATTAGAGTCTGCCATTAGATTTTCTGCTAATTTCTTTAGCTAACTGCAGGTGTTGAGTTACCCTTTACATGTTTCTCCTAGTTACTCCAGAACTGCACCCTCTGGTTAGCATGCTTGTACCCCATGATACAAGTTTTTGTTTATTTTGAACTAAATGATTTATGCTAAGCTAACAGGGTGCAGGTTCTAGCTTCATATTAGATATTTAAAGAAGTAAAACAATAATAATGCTCTTTTCTGTATTTTAGCAAAAGTCTGTTTTTTGAATCTGCTTGTTTGCTATCAGGAGGCCACAGTCAGGATTAATATCAGACAATGGATAAGAAGTCATTTGGCTGGAAAACATAAATGAGGTTTGTAGCTGTTTCAACAAATCCTCATGTCAGGCTTCTCATGGTGCATATTTAATATTTAATATCACATTATCAGTCTGTAATAACACAACATTAACATAAAGTGACCCACTATAACGGTTACTGGTTGGATTTCCCTGAAATTTGATGCATTAATTTAAATGCTCTCAGTCCACTCGGTGACATTTTCTATTAGGTTCAAATCTGTGTTGATTGGTGCTTAATTCTAATTAGAAATTTTTCTCTATTTTAATATGCTAAACTTCATAAACCTGCTGAACATCCCACCCGCATGTTGGTGTCATATTTCAATCAAAACTCTGCAATGAGAACTATCTGTAATCCATAGATCCATAAATCCAAATGACGCCTTCTTCAATTTAGTACTTAAACTCACCAGTCACAGTGATGTTGACAGCTTCACTGCAGGCTCCAGCTCCAGAGTCACACCAGTACAATCCACTGTCTGATGGGTAAGCATCTTGAAGGAAGCAGTTTGATTCATTTTTTGCACCCCAGTGTTTGGAACACTCTTCATTTGTTTTTGTTGACGTGTTTCTCTTTATTGTCCAGTTAGAGTTTTTAAGCTCTCCACAGCTCAGTGTAACAGACTCGTACCTGAAGAACTGAGATCTGTTGGGAAAGATACTCAAAGTGGCTGAAAGAAACAGAGAAAGAAACAACAAACAGAAAGGTGAAAAACAACTAAATACTTTTACAATAACAGATATAAGGTTTGAGCTATAAGGTAGCCACCACCACCTAAAACTGAGTCTAGCTGCTCTTGAAGCTGCTGTAGCATCTGTTCTGTGAAAATTCTCTACCAAACACTGATGAGAAGGTGCTTCCCTCCATTGTCGTGGGTGAAAGAAAACCAAATGAGTGTAGAGTATTTGCAATTAATAATGCTAAATGGTTTCCACCAGTTGCTGTTTCATGAAACAACAATGCACTGTAAAATCAAAAGAAACACAACTGACACCATTTGTCTCCTCTTTGCAGCTCTGTTACGTGACATATGTAATGAAAGCTTCACATATTACCCACAAAACAGATACATCTGCATCTCCTGTTACAAGGTTTCATATGAAACACATGTGGGGTTTTTGAACGATGCACTTTATGGGTGAATATGTGATCTGTATCAGGATGTCAGAGTGCAAATACGGTTTTATGCCCTAATTAAATGCTCAGCTGCAATTCTTTTTATTTTGTCTATGTCTATTGTATTATTTACCTCATGAGCACATCAATAATTAATTAGCATTTGCTTAATTTCACTTCATTATCTGAAAACAACTTCATAGGTAAATTAACTCAAATTAATAAAATATGAAGCAAAACTTCTGTAGTTAGAAACTACATTAAAATACTGAAGCTTTAAACTGAACACAGATAGCAATAAAATGTAAGAAGTTTAGCAACAATGAGGCAACTTTTTGCTTGTAAAAGTTGCTCAGTTTTGCAAGATGGTTTAACGATTATAAAGTAACAATTACCTTGTAATATCAAATAATCACAAAGCTTGCAGTTTATTGTAAAGTATGTTTGAATTCATGTGAATACAAAAACTTGATTTCTCTTTAATGTTATGAAAAGATCAAAGGCTGAACTATTAATCCATCTGTTCATTAAAGCCAAAAGCTAAAGCCCACACACAGACTCACTGGAGACTTGACACATTCTAGTACTCACCCATAATTGTGCACAGAGCTGTGATCTCCATGCTGCTTGGCTGGTGTTCGACTCTCAGACTGAAGAGTTTCGGAGGGGCTGCATCACACCTCAGTGCTGACTTAGTGAAAAAGACAATTATGCAGGATGTATGTCACAGTTTTATTTTTGAAACCACAAATGCAAAATGTTTACGTTCTTCACCCTGAAGACCTGAAGTATATTAATAATGTATTAGACCTGAATCAAAACAGCCCTGAGATTCATGCAGAAAAACTTAAATCTTGCATAACAATCTTCAAACATTGCATAAAACTTAGAGAAGAAATGTAATTATTTTGATGTCTGGACGTATGTTACTGTTATATTAAAGTTGCATTTGTTGATTTGTGCAGTTTGCACATGCAAGTTGCAAAAGAAGTTTCATGTCACAAGACTTTGGAATTGAGTCAGGTTACTGGCAGGATTTTGGTAAGAAAAGCAGATATCCCCTAAAGTTTTTTTTGTTTTTCAATAATGGCACAACTAAAAGCATTTCCCTCAGCGCCCCCAAAAACTCCAGATTTGACTTGATTAGGTAACTGTAACGCAGGGTTTGCCAGCAAAATTCCCAGAGCGCCTGGCTTGATGAGGCTCACTATCACAAGTGATACTTTGGGCACCTTTTCCATTCAATCAAAACTTAAGACTTTTGTTTTCTCACCAGTACGATTTCAAACGAATCTCTCTCTCTCTCTCTCTCTCTCTCTCT